AAGTTAAAGACATAGATCTTATTTAGCATGGCTTAGCGCCATCGTAAATTTTCGCATTTCCAAGTGATTGACACTGTGAACTTTCTGTTTGCACCATGTTTTCAGTTAGTTTCATCTTTTTTTGGAGATGTCCGAGGATGGCCCTCCGAAGCTGACGAATAATGCTAACACCGCTGTTGCACAGGATTCTAGACAGGTTCAGTTGTTTGACTAGAAATTTTGTTAGTAACATAGCATTCACGCGCTTCCTATCTATCGAATTCATGCAGATGCAGCAGGCTCGCGCTGCAAATGGTTCTGCAGGACTGCGCAACCTAGCACCGAGGCAGCAGTGTTCTACAACGGAGATGATGCGTATGGTAGGGACCATGTCTCAAGGTGAGAAAGCTTTCCGAGAGCTGTTTTTTCATTTGTGCTTTCTTTGCTTCTTAACCAAAACATGACTCAACCTCATCGGCGAAGAAGGGAGCTGCTGTTCTAAAGGGAGAGTGCATGGTGAAGTGATTCGGCGAGTTATGCAGCATCTTCACTTTGGACGCTACTTCCAGATCTTTATCTGCCATCTGCATTCTTGAAATTTTGAAAATCTTTTTGAGACCTGCGATCCCTGCAGTAATGAATACGGCTAGATTTGTTGCATAAGGTCATGACTCATGAGTATGAGTGACAGAGCTCTAGCAGCTCTATGGCAGATGCCAGACTTATCCGTTCAACTGATTGCCCGGTTCAGCTCATTCGCTATTGGTCAATCCAGCGATTTGACCAGTAGCGAATGATTGAACCTGAAGAATCGATTGAGCTGGATAAGTCTGGTGCCGGCGTATCCTTCGCGACTGCCTGCTCGGATATCTTCTGGCATCTCTCCATGCTCAACATTTGAGTAAGAGCTGCTCAGGCGTGGGAAAGGCGTTGAGGATAGTTTTGCGAACATAGCGCAAGGTCTGAGTGAGGCGGCCGCGACGGTCAGAACCGCCACTGTGACGCTCACATCAAGACAGCCACTTCGAAGGCGTGGCTGCCTCCGCCTCTGTACTCGAGATTTTTCATCCTTCCGATTTGCTCTGTGTTGCTACTTAGCAGGAAATGGTCAGAACTTAACCCAGCCATT